AATATCAATTATTAGTTGTCAAAATTTATGTTTAATTTATGGATATCCATATTTTAAAAATATAGCATTTTGACATTTTGACATGTTGAAATTGCAAATATGATGAAAATTTTTGATGAGGAATTGTAAAAATATGATATCTTATGATTTTTTCCTAAATTAGTTACGTAGTTAGATTCTGAATAATCTTTGAATTTAATTCAATGGTTATGTTGAATAAAAATCGAAATTCATAAAAAAGAATTCTAGTGAAAATCTATCTTTAAAGTACTATAGAATTGTTATAGAATCATTTTTATCTTTTATAATTCCTCTTTTGAATAGTGATTTCATTTAAATTATATCAGATTGAATAAATGAATAAAATAACAACATGTAATACGTGATAAAATCATGATAAAATTAAACATGCCATAAAAAAAATCTTAATAGAGTGTTACATAAGTGATATGCATATTTTGCATATGGAATTTAAAGATGAAGTTTGAAATGATCTCAATTGATGAAAATTGAAATTGTAATGCATAAAATTCAATTTCTTTTTACAAATAACGTATATTAAGTATATAAAATTCAATAGAAAACAATTTCAAGAAATGAAAGATTAACCATGCATCTTGTTTTGAATTAAAACATCAGGAGCTAAATTGAAAAACAGAATCATGGAAATTTTTATAAAACTGAATAAAAAATATACACATACCTCATTATATTATGATTTTTGTATTATTGCATGAATATTTATACCAAAATATCTCATAAAGAGATATTTACTAGATACACTTCATAATAATAAATATTGTCAAAACAAGATGTTTCAATTTCATGAAGTGAAATGCAAAAAGATTATTTTTGAAATTAATCTTCTCATATTATAAGAATGGAATTATGAAAATTGAAATAAAAGTGAATTACTTATAAATACATTGAATGATTTTTTTGAGTCTCATATATTTATCATGAAAAAATTTTAAGCATGATGCTGAAAACAAGGTTTGAAGGATTAGGTAAAAGAAATGTATGGTAGACTATTCATACTCTACTGATGAAAAAAATAAATTTCAAATACTTATATACAATGAATCATACATAACAAAGTTTCAAGCAATTTTTGAATACGTTTGAAACAACAGTCATGAAAATTAAAAAGCAGTTGACGTTAGATTACTGCATCATTACAAAGTCAAGATTCCAAACATGTGAAGTAGAAGTTTGTGATCTTTCGTTTTGATTTTGAAAAGTGATTCATAGAAATAATGCAATGATTTGAGATAAAAAAGTTACATGTGATATTAAAAATTATATTTTCAAATTTGAAAAGAATTGCAAAAATAATAATATATGTTACAAAAATAACTAAAAACATGAAAAAAATTTTATTAAAAGCTTCAAATGAAAAAAATATTAAAATATTTTATCATTTTATTTACTTCATAAGAAAATTTTTTGGATAAAAAATAGTTTGTAATTATGCAAAGATTTCAAACAAAGCCACTAATACTAAACTATTAGTGGCGTTGTTTCAATATAAAACTATACAATTTGAAATTTTCCAGAGCTGAATGCAAAAAATAATAACTTTTTTATGAATAATTCTTATAAAATTAAGATTAAAAGATTTCACTTTGAAAAAAAATTTGCATGACAAAAAAATTATCTTCAAGAAATTGTTATGGATATCAAAATTAAAATTTTATAATCACTAATTAATAAATTACAGTAATTTTCCTAGTTTTTATGATGTAATTATTTTCATAAAACGGAGAAAAATTGAATAGAAAAAATATTCAAATTAAATTGAACATATGATATATTTCCTAAATTTTATTTGTAGAAATTTAATATTGATTTCAAATTTTGAATGTAGAGATACTTAAAATTCTTAATGATACTTAAGTTTTTTTTCAAGTGTTTTCAAATTTAAGCAATATGAGCATCCCTTAATCATCAAATTGATTTGAGATGCATTTGATTCATCAATACTTCAAGAAGAATGAGATGATGATTGATATTTAATAATTTTATTCTTTATGATTTGATAAAAGTTAAATAAATATACCATAAAAAAATAAATTAATCTTTTGATAACAAAGCATTAGAAGCGCAGTTCATAATGAAAATTGAGTATACAGGGTAAGCAAAAACAACGAAGTAAGCTATTTGATTCAATATGCATATCACTAAGATAGAATTGAAATAAAAGGTTGTCAATCTTTATTGTGATAGTCAAAATGTGTTACATCTTACTGCACATTATGTGATGGACAGCAAAATCAAATATATTGTCATCAGATATTATTTTATTAGAGAGATGCAATGTTGAATTGATCGAGTAAATCAAGATTGACGATGAACTCAATATAGTTGCTATGTTGATCAAGATTACTCTTTGAGAAAATTTTAGTATACTTTGTGCTATTATGCAAATATTGTATGAGGAGAACAAGTAAAGTTTATTAACAACTTTTGTTAGCTCCTTATATTTTAACTCTATCATGTTTTTGCTTAGACTTACTTCTAAGTATGCTTCTATGTATATATAGGGAAGCGAGACACAACTTGCTTTGAGTAAAGAACCTATTTCTTCATGTGGACAGAGCACAAAAAAGACAAAAAACGTAATCTGTTGTCGGTGTCATTTTTTCTCTTAGTGTGTCTTCATGCTTATGCATTATGGGTAAAAGTCATTTAAAATTATGTGTTGATTCTTTTTTCCTTTTCAATTCAATTTTTTTTTATGATTATATGAAAATGTGAGATTTTATAATTATTTTAATCTTTTAAGAATAAAAAACCCTATTTAATACGTTTTAACTTAGAAAAAGTTCAATTGAAGAAAATTGAATATGAAAATAATTATTTTGAATATATATTTAGGTTGCATTTCAAAATTTGATGGCTTGTTGATTATATGGAAATCATAGAGTTTGTTATTATTATTACGAAAAAAACTTCCAAAAAATCACTCTATGATTATATCAATTAATGTTTAATATTTGCACCGTTAAATCAAAATATGAAAACCAGCTGAAACGTAAATTCATAAATATCAAGTAATAATGTTGGTAAGAAAGAAGAGATTCGTGAACTATTATGCTTCAGTGTGCAATCCACATGCCACTTGGTTGCCATTCGGAAAACTCCCAAGTGAGACTAGAGTAAATAAGCCTCAAACAGTTTGAAGTCAAAAGGTCCGTCATCTGATCACTTTATTAGAAATGCGAGAGTATGGCATAAGGAAATGATGCTGGTATTTAAATTTGTTCTTGCAAGTGATGAACATCTTCGCAGGCACTCAATTCTTATCAAAAGATGAAACAAATTTACAAATGCTTGAAATGGAAACTTGGTATTTTTACAGTAACTATTGCGAATGTGCCTAATAAATGTTTAATTCGATGGTCCTCATGTGATCACTGATTTCACCGAAAGAGGAAACCGGCAGCAGATTTCCAACCTCCACGGTGTAGCAGAAAGACGAATAACCGTTCCACTGTTCCATTTGCAAGACGAGATAGTAAATTGATTGAGCATTGACTTCATGGAGTGCGGTTGCTACTGGTGATGTCACCAGTAGCAACCGACTTCATGTATATATAAACTCGACTTTATGTCTTCTTCCAGTGAAGGTTGTTATCGGGAAAATGTAAAACTCAAAAGCAGGAAAAATTTCTTAATCGTGTTATATCAAACTTTTCAATCAAATTTTCAATTTTCAATGCTCAATCTCATCAAACTCTTTGTCCTCGGCAAAAGGTTGTCCTTTCTTTTGGTTATGCAGTTTGCGGACTTCTTTGACATGACTGCCTTAATTCTTCATGCTACAGAGAGTTTCTATGCTTTGTCGAGTGCAGATGCCAGATGGAAGAGCTGCACTAGTTTTCCAAATCCGTCGCAGATTAGATGAGATCACGAACCTCCAAACTTCTTGTTCAGAAAAAAATAAATTGAGAATCCTACTGTGTTAAACCATTTGCATGAATGGTTTAGCAAAGTTTCACAGAATTGAGGCCGGCCGAGGCAATCGTTGTTGTCTCCAGATCTGCCAGATCTGCCAGTTCTACTTCCGCCAGTTGGACAAGGCATGAACTTCATCCTCCAGAAATGACTTTGCCTTAAGAGTATGAGCAATCCAAGTCGGAGGCCACTCGCGTGAATCCGAGCAAATGATATGCAAGAAAAATTGCTCAACAGACTCATCTTACTTTCAAAGTAGCAAAATGAAGTACATTAAACTCAAGGAAGAGTATGTGAGCTTTGTCAGATTCCTCTCCTACAACGGACATTGACTCAAAAAGCAGATTTGACTGTAGAGGCAGAGGTCATATGTGATCTATAAGTGCTTCTCGAGGTGCCTTTCAAAATTATCATTGTTCGCCTCTTGGTCATGTCAAGAATATTAAACTCTGAAAGATGGTGCTTTGGAGTTATAAACACATTCTTTTCTAATGCATAAGAGTACAGACTGGCCTTCCGTAGGCTACCTGGGTATCATTTATTTTAGTTCATGGTTTATAGCATGATTTTATCGTATCTTAATTGCTTACGTTGCTATAACGAGATCACAAGATGGTGTAATCGTGTTGGTGATGATTCTTTTGGATGCCCGTTGTCTATAAACCCTTGTACCTGGATAGTTGGAGCCGTGTTGTGCTCCATATTTCCCATTGTGATGCCATCGGGGATCCTCCCTTTACACAGGTTTCTCATTGTTATCTGAAAGATGTAAGCATTAAATTGACTTGTGGCTGCAAACGTGCATCAGCAAGATGCGGGCTGCATTGACTTCGTCGGCATGTCTAGATTAGCTGGACCTCTTTGGCGAAGAGCGATAGACATTCACTGCACCGACAGTGATTTGTAACTACAACGATCAAGCAAGACAGGCAGACGATTTGCACGTCATTCTGATTACATGAATAGCAGTGGCTAACCGGAAGATCAACAAGCGCACAAATGATGCCAGAACACTTCTCAGAGCCACGGCGTGCAAACTTTGGATCAAACTCAAGTAATTTGATGAGACGAGCGTATTGAACTAACCTGGATGTTACATACTTTCGAATCCCTCGCACGTCCAAGTGGACTCATTCTGATGGTGATGAGGAGGAGGAGGAAGCGTACGTGTGGTTCTGTACTGATTTCTGCGTAAATTGAAAAGTCTACATTCTTCTAAATATTTATCCTCTCCGGCAGAACATACGAGTACTCTCATAATCTCTTCACCTGCGAATCCCGGCATTTTCTCGTCGCATCTTCCACTTGTTACTCTCCCAATCTTTTCGACACACAGGTACGAAAGTGCAGTGAATATCATGTGCACAGAGTCTTCAATCGTAACTGAAAACAGCGGTTGGAAAGTACATCTTTCAACTTCCCAACGTACTATTAATGTATGTCTATGATGTCCAAAATACTAACCAGACGATCATAGAGGATTAGGATCTTAGGTACTAATTACTAGTTATACACTAAAGCATGTGCTTGATTGGTCAGCTGCAACTTGAACAACCTACTGAACAATTTATCTTGGATATTGTAGTAGCTTCGGAAACAAACGTGTTCTTTAGTACCGCTGCTGCGCTCCCTGTCCTTCGTCTGATGCTCTGAATTCTGAACCCACAATCTTGAGCCGCCTTCGTTCAAATAGTAGAGACTGGAGCTGGAGCTCTTTGAATGCTTCGAATAACTGAGTGTGTGCTGTAACTCACTTTTCACCGATCAAGCTTTCGGTCTAAGCGACGAGCTCCCGGGACTTGCTCTTATCAATGGTCGATGGTGATCAATGAGACTTAGTTCATGTTGTGGCGAGCTAGTGCAGGACTTTCTTGCCTCCTCCTTGATGCTCTCGAGCTCTGGTCTCCAGGATCTGTTTTCCTGGCATATGTACCGCCAGTGCATCTCCGCAGTTTCCAAAATTCTCCGCATATGCAGGGTGATTGGACTTTTACTCGAATCCTTGTAACTGTGCTTGATCAGCCCCGTGCAACGTGATTCTAAAGCGAGGAGAGATCCCAGAGTTACTCGACCCCTTCTCCTCCTGGTAACTTTCGGCTCGTCCTCGTCGTCCGAATGTGACAACGTTGGGAATCCTTGACATCCTGCTTGAAGACAGAGGCCCGTCGGAATACAAGACGTGGGTTGGGGCCGCTGTCCACCTTTCAAATAATTGAAGAGCCGAGGAAGTGGCACCAGTACATAGGTGTGTCCCAACTGCAACTCCATTTCCAGAGGAAGCATTGCACCCTTCTGAGTTGTTCCTCGGCTGTCACACACATAGTGATGAGGATAAGCAAGCAAGAGCTCGGCGATGGTTATAGGCTGAGTGTATATGTACACTCTGCCACTCGGATGCACCACCCGGACCACTTTCGACAAACAACAGGCTAAAAATGCCACATTCCCCATAGAAGTCCTGAAGAACTTCCACAGACTCCCAAACTTGTTGCTGGATATAATGACTATCTCTGCTGCTTCCGTCGAAGGAACCTTATCGAACAGAAGCTGGAGAAAGTGTCACATTTCTCCAGTAACTGTTCTCAGAACCATCAGAGACAGATCCTTGCAGCTAGCCATGTTGGTGTGAGCTTCCTCGCTGTGGTCTTCTGCTAGTCCCGGATGTCAAATCCAGCAAGAAGCCAGGGCATTGGCAAGCGAGTGGCAGCTTCTCTGGAGCACAGCTGAAATTTGTGCTGCAGTTTGAAGGCAGAGAGCGAAAGTGAGAACAGGACCACCACAGGAGACGGTGTTCTGAAATTCGCTTCAGAGGTTTGGACCTCTCAGTCAGTTCACTCGTCAGCAAACTTCTGGCGGGGTGCACGGATTTTGGAAAGCAAAAAGGCAGCTCGGAGGCAAGCGGGGGGAGCTCCTGAAATTGGATGGACTTGGCTGACCTGCGTTCAAGCGTGCGTGGTCCATGTGATCAAGTTAGCTAAGCCGGTATTTTCAGCTTTCTTGATACTTGTTTTCATTCGTACTCATGGTAATCAGATGCCACAACAGTGCAACTGCTTTGGAGTACTCACAATCACTGGTGCCTTTTTTCTCTGTTGGTAATTAGTTGCCACAAATATTACCGCTATAGCTACGCCGTGACGAACCTCTTGCCTTACCTTGCCCAACTTCAAAGCCCCCAAGGTCCAGACAAGCAACTTCGTCCCCACCTTGCTTCACCATCCAATCGACCAAACCAGCCCCTTCACACACTTTTCAATCACATTGGGATCAGGGACCACCAACTTCTATGCTGCGTCTGCTGCAGCAGCCGCCTCTTCCTCCTACTGTTTCTGTGTCGTCCTGCCCACCAGCTGCAACCTGAAATCGGTAGTCCTCATTTTCTCCTTCAGATGGCCTCTCTTCAATTGAAGCCATCCGCTAAAACAGTACATCCGTGCGAGTGCTGTGATTCGTGATGGACTTTTCCTTGGGCAATATTTTGTTCTTTGCTTTTTCCTCATTATTGCGCCATCCGACCGCATTCTGAGCTTCTTTCTCGCTACCGGTCCACTAGTTGTTGGCTTCCAATATTAGATAAGCCCCGCAGGGGGTCGAGGGACAGTGAAACTCCAGCGAAAGATGCCCAGAGGTCAAACTTAAACGCGACACAATTTCGTATCGAGACTTGAACTTAAAGTAGAGGTCAGCGAGACGAGGACGATTCTCAGCTCTTTCTACTGGCGTGAAGATTGAAGCATCGGACTGTGTGTGAGGTCGTACAGCAATAAAACCAAGTCAGCCTTGAAGAAATGGTTGACTCGATCGCTCACTCACGAGCAGAGCAGCCGACTCACTAGCTATCCAGCAGCCACTGTGGTGGATCTAGGATTCATGCCTGAGCTTCAATTGTCATCCAATTATGTCCCCTGTTTGTTCTACTACCATGTCAATGCCTCTGTCTGAATGGATTCCATGGAGTTTGATCTTGGACTCCGAATTGGTGACCGATCCCAGAGGAGCAGGGCTCGCCACTTGTGTCTCCAGCTGTCTCTTTCTAAAAGTCCCTCATGAGGGCCGCTATCTTGCCTCGTTCCTTGCTTCTTTCCGTCGATGGATCCGAAAGCGGTCCATGTCCACTATAGAGAAGGTCTTACACTACCAGATCAGGCGTTTACTGGATTTTCACTCTAGCGCTGTGGAAGTCCAGTTTACGAGGAGGGTCCAAGAATCATTTCCACGGCGCAGCAAGCCCATTGTGACGTAAACTGGTCCCACTAGCATGGTCCATAGTGTCTTCGTCGGTCCCACACGGACTTTGTTGAGTAGAAAAAAAGCAGCCCGGCCTTGCCTCTGTCCGTGGAGATTATAAAATCTCGGATAAGCTTTCCATCGGTATGATGCACGAGTTGGAAGCTCACATATAGGCCCACTCGAGAAAGTGGAAGGAGAAGGAAAGTTTGGTGGAGACGAGCGGACGACTATAAGCACAGCGGCATTGCTAACGGCCTGTTTGGTGTGCAATCTTAACGCGTAAGATCTGAGATATGCTTCAAAAGTAGCATCTGCTGTCAATCTTTCGCGACGTGCTGGTTGCCGAGGGAAAGGTACATTCTTTTTTACAGCCAATTTGATTCAAGGACGATTTGGTAGTCTTCTAATGTGCTTCCTTGTAGCACCCAATCAGGGTGATCTCGGTTTTGTTTTCTAGCTGAATTCGCTGCTCCCATGACTTGCCTTCTGTGTTCGTTCACAGGGATGAGGACAAACGGCATGAAGCTGATTCGACTCTATCCAAGCAGCTCAAATTTTCTTACCCCGTGTACAGATTTGTCATCCGAGTAATGGACAATAGCAGGGATCGTGCTCTATATTCCTCGGACAGGGTCGATCCCTTTTTCTGTTGGTGGCCAAAATCCCTTCACCTAAAATCTGTGAGTCTTACCAACTATCTTCACTCATAGCTCTCGAGGTCTCCTTGGTAGGTGCTGAGCTTGACCAAACTCATCCCAGGACAACGCTCTTGCCAAATCTTTCTGGCAGCTGAGCCAACTTTTAGCAGCTTGGAAGTTTTGATCCACGAGACAAGGTAGCCCATGATGTTCAGACCTGTGAGCCCCTCCGGAATATGTACCGGAGGTCTATCGAGAAAATTGATGCAAATCTAACGAAGAAGGAACGACCAATCAGTTTCTTGACCATTGCGCCTGAAGGCCTTGTGTATGAAGGTGACTGTACGACGCGCATTTTGCTCTTTGCAGTATTTTGTTCGTTTTCTACTTACCCTTCTCTGGCCCAAGGCAAGAGATCCCGATCCTGTCCAACACTGCATATTGCAAGCACCAAGTTTGCGATGGCATCCCTCCTAGAGCCACGGATTCGATCAATCTATAAAGAATTTCAACAGTTTAACCTACCACGTGATCCGTTCGAACTTTCGATTCATGCAATGAGTCTGATTCTGGAAACGTCGAGACTTCACGTCCAGCTCATTTTCTTCGTCTCATGCTGTCATCATTTTTCGTTCAAAAGCTGTACTGTCAGCCCTTTCGACCAGAGGCAGAGAATGCCTTTCTGTTTCCTTTACTTTTGTAAATATGACAGTCAGAATACCATAAGGCAATGAAGAACGAGACTGTCACGACGGATTTGTCTTCGTGTAGTCCTCGTCTCATCGATGACAGCAGGCAGTGCTGAGGAAGAGTGGTGTAACTGCAACATCGGACACAAATATAGACGAGATTGACGACGTAAACTAAGGGGTCCAGCATACATTTTCAACCACCGTTCTCCTTGAAAGTGCTTGACAGCCGACTAGGTGATTTTGATTTTCAGCTCGTGGCGTGAGGGTGGGCATGACACAGACTCGGAACTAATGCCATGCAAATTGGACGATTTTCTCTGAGTGACAAGTCGGAGAGACTTCGGCTCAGGAGAAGTTTCATCATCCTTCGTCTTCCTCGCATGTACAGCAGGCAGGCAGTGCAACATTTCAATGTTGTACATACGCGTGTTGCTCAGGCTATGGTGAGTTGTGCACAGGAGCTCATGTAAGAATAGGTTCCGAGAGAGCAGCCATCTTTCACGTGCGAAGACTACAGTCGTGACGTTCAGGTGCCGCCATGATAGCGTTGGGGTAACATCAAGGTGTTCGTAGAGTTACAGCAGAGGGTCGTTAGTACATCGCTTCGAAGAGCGGCTGGGACTTGAGACTTCCTTCCTATTTCTGGTCAAAGAGTTGTTGAATTTGGACTTGCATTTGCACGATGTGCGAAAAATGCAAAAATTTAAAATCACCGACTCTTGGGCCAGACATTGGAATATAGTTTTACTCACTTCGATGCACTCGAACCCGAGCCGCCAACATGCATGCGTGTGCTATTCGGGAAGAATGTTATGGCCGCGTACAGTGGCGCAATGACACAACATGCAGGCGCTTCTTCTTCACAATGAACTGACAAGCAACTGTGAGTCCAGGAATGCTTCACTCAGCTTGCGGGAGGGAGGAAGACAAAAGCGTCGAGTGTATCAATGAACAAGAGAGAAAAAATGTGGACTCTGCGACTCCAGTAATGCGAGAGCGTGGACTGCTTATGCCTATCTACAACAGAATGTAACTGCTTCGTTACAGCTCCTGCACACCATTCCGCATCGAGAGGATTTCTGCTGATCTAGCAGACCTGGAAACATCTTATCCTTTCAGTGTACAGTGAGTGGTTTCAAACCACTCCACACTGGCTCAGGACAGATACAGAAATCCTCGAGTCATTATGTCAAACGCGGATGCAAATGCTCGTGACAGCCGACGATAGGGGCGATAGATTGACAGCGGCTATATAGACACAAGTAACGCCAAGGCATTGTAGAACTCGTGCTGAACCGCAAGCATCACATGTATAAATGCTCGGCTGTTTCACAGAATGCTGCCTTGGCGAAAACCTGCACATTCTTTAAGATAGCAGGCAAGACTAGGCACAGGGCTCTGCGAGCAATGATGCAATACTTGTACATGTTGTCCGAAAATAAATGACACAGCAGCTCGCACTAATCACGATTGTTAACCATCTGCTTGGTCTGAAGCAAGCAGACACGTGATAGTTAGGTGCTCCGGCGCCATGCGCCCCCTTGCTCGGGTGAAAGGGAACGGAAGGGCAGGGGCCGACAGAGCTGCACAGCAATGAATTTTACAATCCGCTATTTTAAGAATCTACGATCCTCTGGCCCAGATTCATACAAACGCTATCTAGCTCCGACGTCCACCACCAGAGCTACAAAAGTTCCCAGGACGAGCTCGCTCTCCCGCCCCTCGAGTTCATTCCGTCCAAGGACGGCCTCTATTCGACAGATAGAGTGTACTTTGGACAAGGTATATGCCAGGGAGAGCTCCCAGCGTTGGTCAAGATAACAGAAGTAGGCCCCACAACGAAGCGTCTCATCCTCTCACTATCACGAGCTGGACGCTGTTGCATGTCGTTCCCTGCTCAAACAGAAGCGCTACGAAAGCTCTCTCGGGGTCAACTTCACGAGGACCCCATTGAAAGTGTGATCTTGCATGCGGACCAGGCCGGAGTAGACGATAGAACGCTTGACGAACGTAGCGACAGGGTCAGAGTCTGGGCCAGCAGCAGTTCCATTCCCACGCTAAATTCTAGGCCTCTGCTCTGACAGACACCTTTGAAGCTGTTCGTGCCTTGACTTGGAATCACGTGGCGAACAGCAGGATTCCGGCATGTTCAACTCTTGCCAAACTGAATCTAGTTTTCAAACCGTGTCTCTTGACCTTTGACTGAAAGTTCCACGGGCTTGATTCATGCATCCAATGTAGCAGTGCAAGAGTGGCCTCAATCCCATGGAAACGACACTTCAGTAGAGGAGATGAGTACAGCACAATGAAAACAATGATGCGAGCAATAAGACCATGAATGCAAACGAGGGGAATAATTGGCAGTTCAGCCCTGACAATATGTATTACCGATACACGGCCCTGTTCGATAAAGGAGCATCAATTTTATTTTTTTATTTGCATTCCCGCGCATCCATCGTGATACATGGACTGCTGAAGTCACAGAGTGATGAAGGGATCTTCTCCAAACTGCCTTTCCTCCAAACTTGATGCGAAAATCTAAGGCCAGAGCTTCCAGCAAACCATTCGATAGAGACGGACTTCTTGTGAAAGTTGTCATCAGACTATGTACTCTGATACGAAATCTTCATCCCGAGACCGACTGTCACGGAAAGTATGTACAGACAGACACTCCCTCTCGAGAATGGCGTGTGGAGTTCCCTCCCCCTCAGTCCACGGAACCATATGTTACGTTGGCTTGGGCAGAAGCAACGGCCACGAATGAATCAGTGACCAGATGAAACTTCCTCGATTCAAAGCACATTGAGTGAGTGTGCTGCCGGGAATTCATGTCAACCCACGTTGTCTCGTTCCATGCCATAAAATGATCTCGTTTCTCTCCAAACTGCAATGGCAACCGGAGCAATGAAGCCGAGCTGCATCATGAATGGACTGCACTGGATATCTCTGTACAGCGCTGAGACTCGATTGTGTTCAGCTCAGCTCGACAGCTCGACAGCGTTCGAGGCGGGTTCTGAGTGCCGAGAGCAGCCATAAGAGATCGATCAGTCAGCCATCATCGACCTTCCTGTGAGGTAGCTAGCCTTCACAGCTTTCGGATGGCTCCGTTCGTCGGCATTTGTGCTTTCCATTCGGCAGTCAGGCAGTGGGCGACGGTGTTTATCTTTCGAGCAGAGAATCTGGTTCAGGCGAAATGTTCTGCCCTGAAAACAAGTGAATGTAGCAGCATTACCTGCGCCTGAACGAACCTGACCTGCCAACGCGGAAGCTCAAGGGCACTGACGCTTTCGAGGCCTTGGAATTGCGGGCTGGCAGAACGGGAACGGGAGCTGCTGTGACTGTCTTCGTCTTGTGAGCCCTCATTGGGGTGGCACACACGTGCATCAACATTTGGTTGCCCACGAACAGATCGTACACGTTGACGTTGGTTTCCTTAGCAGTCTCGCGCAATTTTCCATACGATGCACGGAGTCTGGAAAATATATTGCCCGGAGTGTGGAGAAGTCCTTGGAGGCCTGCAATGCGGATCCGACTCTTGCCTCCAAGTCGAGCGGACCTCGGTGCTCTGCCTTCGGCGTTTGCCAGGCTCACCTTCTCGTAGTCGTAATTCTTTGACTGCTTCAGCAAGGCTGGAGTATCATACACCGATTGCCCAGACACAGCCAGGCGCACTCGCCTCGCTGCGCTCATCGCAAGGCTCCTTCCCATACTTCCTGCTTGTATTCGTCACGAGTTCCCCGAATGCAGCGCCGCACGCCCGCGAAGAAGAGTAGAATGGAATGGCGTGTCCGTAATTCGTCGCTCAGAAAACAAAATGCTTCCACGAACTAGCTGCTCCTGTAACCTGTGCAACTGATCTCCGGCAAATTCCTTTTAAGCTATCTCGGCAGCTTGGGCGTCAGATGCTGTGAATCATTCTGCTTTCGAAAAGAACATGATGGCAACGTGAACTTTGTACTACGCTATGCTACACTACACCTCAGTTCCAGAGCCTACTCGAGCGAGGGGCGGTAAGGGAAAGGAGGTGATGCAAGTTTGAATCACGGAGCTCGGCCTCGAGGTGTACTTCGAGACGGGCCAATGCAGGCAGCGAGGAACAGCACTAAAAGCGACAGTGCGTAGACTGCAGAGAGAAGTGAAGAGTCTAGGGGAGACGGAATGTGTGATGTCTCGAGAGCGCAGCGCAATGCACGTCGCTAGGCCTGCAGCTCTAGGCCGAGCAGACTGTGCAGCACCGATCAGAGTTCGGGAGAAGGATGACGAGAGTGTGGATGAGTGAGGAGTTCGGCCGAGAGCCAGACTTTGCATGAGCACCAACAGAGCGCGAGCATTGAGTACACAGCGCTGGCAGATGATGGGATGAGGGCGGATCGGAGGCGGAGGCGAAGAATGAAGTGGATGATGCCGAGCCGTGGTGGGGACGGCGAAAGCTGCAGGTCTGCTGCACTCTGGATCGAGGTACAGCACAGTCTGTAGTCAGGCCATCGCAGCATCGCAGGCCCAAAGCAGGCATGCGGATGGACTGCGATGTACACTGCCAGCTTACGTCGAACCGGGGGGCAGGCAGGCAAGAGAATCGGGAGCGAGGATTAAGAGCCCAGATGATGCACAGACCAGCCCCGCCGCTGACAGCCGTGATTTCCGCTTCCCGCAACTCGCCTCTCCTCGTTCCCCGCCGCCCCTGACCCTCGTCCCTCGTCCCTTCCCTCCCTCGCTCCCATCAAAGCTCTGCCTTGGCAACCATGGCCTAGCGTGCCCCCAACGAACCGGCAGCTGCACCAGCAGTGCCGATCGAGGAGGCCACGAGGGAGGGAGGGAGGCCCTTCCCGCAAAAAGATGGCCTCCGCTGTACGTGTACTCGATGCACTCAGTGATGGGAGTCGAGTGCAAATGCCATGCAGAGCATGGCCGAAAACCCCCGTGACACGACATTTCGTTGTGCCTTGTAGCCGCCGGCGGGGGTCCGGGCGAGGGCTGCTGACTGGTGGTCCCTTCTCTCGCGCCGTATTTCCCATCCCCTTCCCCGATGCCTCTGATCCGAACTGACAATTGCAGCCAGCATCTTTGTGTCAGCTCAGCCTGCGCAGAGCAAAGGAATCGTCTCAAGGATCGTCGAACCACTTGCAAAGGTTCAGATTGTAGGTACAGATAGGCAGCAGCAGCAGCAGTCTGTTCTCGGTTCATGGATCTCTATTCTCGACTACGGTCGCTCGATTCTTTTATTACTCGGCGGTTTTAGAAAACCTCGACATCGTCCAACGAGGGAGATGGATATTATTGCTCATTCCATGTGTACAGCAGTGTCGACGGAAGTGGCTCATTTCTTTTCAATTCATTACACTCGCGGTTCCCTTATCTCTGTTCATTTCACTTCATGAGGGTTCTGGCACACGACGTTAGCGAGACTGTATTGCATCAATAAATCAGCTTTACGAAATGTTTCGCACATTCGATATTACATGTTTGAGATCCACCGAGGCCCCTACCTCGTCAATATCTATGTCGTAGCTCGAGACCCCTACTCCGAGGGTCATAGATGTCATGTTACTGGACTCTGAGGCGTCAAATTCCCTCCATAGATAAAATGTAGCCCCAGACAGCTGTACAGATAAGAACTTACGAAATAAACGTAGATAAGGTTTGGTGCCGAGAATGTTGTGGAGTTGTGATTGATTTCATTTGCAAATCTGTTCTTGTTCTACGTATGTCCTGCTTTCATGGCCTTTTTCCCCTATTTCCGCTTGTTATCCTCATTGTACTATACATGCCAACGTTCTACATTTCCTCTGTATTGGATTGGATTCAACTTCATCTTGCAATTCTCATGTCTTTAATTTGATAACTCAACTTACAGCTCTGATTATGGAGATCTTAGCATTTATCGTAACAGGTAGTCAAACCATGTTTACTTTGGAATTAAACTCTTTCTTCATTTTTACAAGATACGAATTCTTATTCTAATATTTTATATTAAAAAATCGACCTTTCACATAAAGACATCCATTCTCTTGCTAGAAACAACTATAATATCTATGCCCAGATAACAGAGGTGAGGGTGTGAATATACGCTGTGACGTTCCTATGACGTACTACCTGGCACATTCCTCTGTGTAGTTAAATAATACTGCATCTGTGGGACAGAAATCTCTTTTGTAATAATCTCGATCCGGTATATAGACAAAGTAGCATGATGCAAGAAAATATATCAAATTCTCACGAGAAGACTTACGCGATATGTCGTCAGACCATATCAAAGTCTCACTAGAAGACTTACGAGATATCTCGTCAGTCCCTAAATACCTACCATACTCCGTTTAACTGTAGATAGAGATGTCCTGAAAATTAATGTCACTTGTAAAATGCCACAGAAATCATACACTTAAGTTCAACATTCAACTTTTCTACATTCTCTTCCTCTCTTTCACTTGATTCAGAAATCAATGTTCTCTTTCAGCTCCCTTCCATGCTGTTCTGAATCAGTACTGAAGATAAAGAATGAGTTACACGAATGAGTGGATGTATGGATTCGTGTCCTTTAGCATCCATGGCTCGCATCCATCACTGCTAACAGTTGGTAGAGAGGATCAAGAAGGTAAGAAAAAAAGAATCAATTTCTGTGTCCGAATGGGTAGTTAATTGTATGAAACAGTCGAGTACAAGAACTTGCATGTCAATACAGCATCATACCCCCACTTTCGTCATCTTAACATCACCTTGCGTTGCTCTTGAAAGAAGACATCAGACATATATGTTGGAACAAGGGAAAACTTCAAACTCGAATTTTACTCTCGTATATGTCTGCTACCTTTAATTCTCCAAGCTAGTGGTGTAGGTAACATGAGCTATTTTTTAATTCTTCCCACTAAAAATACAATGTATTCATCGCCACTTCTAAAAGAATTATCAGACTTCTTCGACAAACTGCACGTTTCCAAAATTTGAAAGTTCCTTTCGTTAACTAGATTTCAATACAGAACGAAAGAAGCGAAAGACTATTGAACATTATGTCTTAAGCAAATGAAGACATTACGCCTTACAAGACATTACGCCGAACGTGGATGAATCCACGTTCGGCACCATGTCTTGAAACTTGTTAGGCAGGGTAATCAAATGGGAGACCCTAGGACTTCAAACACGGTTTAGGTCCAGAAATCAGATCAGAGAGATGCAATATCATGTATGTTGATAATTAGGCAAGAGGTGTCTGTCGGGGGGTCACTTCGGGTCGATCATGCTGTCAATGGAATCTTCTTGCAAAAAGCGAGGAGCGGAAGAAGAAATAGATTTGGAGTACTTCGAGGGCCGTGAGGTCCAACTCCGCGCAAACTTGTGACACTTTATTCTTCCACTAAAAGTTAGCTCTGTTTTTTCTAACTTTGAGTATCTCCCATAACCGAGGTGCCAAGCAAAGCTCGTCCAACTTTGAGGGAAAAGCGTCTGGAAATTCACTCCTATCGATCTGACCCTCATATCCGAAAGGAATAACCGAGTCAGCCAAAAACGAGTACGTTTATGGCCTACAAGAACCGTCTTCAGAATAAGAAACTCTTTCCAATAAATCCCCTCGAATTGTCAAGCTTGGATGTTCTACAAGTTCATCCGTCCAGCTTTGGGTAGTGCTCTCTACGCATGGTCGTTGCGGTCCATGAATGACTTCAGGCGTGGACCAACCATCAGAACGAACCACCGAACACCGTTGAAAAGTTCTTTGAACCGCGCATCATTTCTCTGGACTTGCTTTTGGGTCTAGACCGTCCTCCGCCATCGGTGGCCGCCTGTCTTGTGATAGTCTTTTGCACAATTAAGCACAAAGCCACGTCCAGGGTGGAAATTCTTACAGGGATAACAGTTCACGTTCATGTTGATGCTGTACCGTGATATTGAGCTTTTAGATGGGATTTCCGCTCCGAACCAGCACCAAGCACCGCTGATGATAGTTGAAAAATAAATAGGCAAACAAGCGACAATTTGACACCAGATGTCCTGAGGTGTAAACAAAGCTGCTTCATACTTTTACATCATCATCTGGAGGCAAACTTATACGATTATCAGCTATGATCTGCACTTTGCAGAGAATGTCATCAGCAAATTATTTTTGCCATGTCTATCCAGACCTGAATTTAGTGCTGTGTCTTTTAGAAATCATGAGCCCGATCTAGAAATAATCACATCTCACTGACCATCGTGCCAGACTTCCTTCACGTTCAAGTTCCAAGCTCGAACTCTTCGATAATGTACAGCACTGTATCCATCTATGTGTCCTTTAATGCAGCCAGTTCCCCTTTTCGTGCTCAGCTGCTTCAGCCTTTTGGTTTCAGGTTGCCTCTTGACGCCAGGCTCATAAGATCTTGACATGTGGAGATGGGATTTCTTGCATAGATTCTTACAGTGTGATTATTCCATCTGAGAGAAAGACCTGGGCCAGCAATGAGAAGAGCTTCTTCCGAAGACATGAGTCAAACCTTACATCTGCACTTGGGCACTTTTACGCAAGTGAGGTTCTCTGACTGACTTCGCAGTCGGATTCACACAATAATGCTGACATCTGTGAGGTCAACCTTCTCTTCAAGGCGGTCATGAGTGACCATGACGACAATGTGTCAGATCCTTGGAAAACTCACTGTCAGTTGTATTAGGCAGTGACATGTCAACGTCAGCTGCTGTACTGTGCATGATAAGCACTGAGTGTTCTTCAAAGTTCTCGGCAGAGACTGGAAATGCAGATGCTGGGAGGACAGGCAACTCCAATCCAGCCTTGCAGTACGCCAGCCAGCATCATCCTTGAGGGAGTCCATTTCCCTAAACTATCTGAGAGGGGTTGGTGCTTACTGTTGACACAAGTCAGTCACAAGTAGGAAACTCGAGAAGCTTAAACGCGAGGCTCAATATCAGAGGTTAGAATTTGTGAAGGGTGTCCCCCCGAAGGCGTTTTGTTCGAGGGTGGGTTTCGAGGCGTCGTTGTGATGTCATCATAACGATTCGACAGGCCTCTTTTCCTATGCCGGCACATGGACTCCTGTGTGTTGCTCTTGCCTTGCCTGACGCAGTAAGTATGGTTCTTGCCACAGAGAGTTACCATTTCGTGCACAATAGGACCTGCAGGCATACAAATATCTTCGGTTTTTTAAACAAGAGAACAGGAGGTAAGATTTGGGCTTTCTTCCTTGAATTTTCTGCATGTATATTCAACAGCAGAACTGCTGTTCCTTCGGGTCTTTAAATACTTACATTCTGTTCCGATGCACGTACACATCATCGTCGAAGGATATTTCTATGGCATGTTTAACCTCTTACTGCCTTTCTGAAGATCGGTATCACGTCGATCCCTGTTGTGATAGACGTATCGCTTCCAATTTTGGACAACCCCCTCTGTCTTGATCGAATAGGGTACAGTCATGGAAATTCCTCGGTGAGGAATTGGTCCATTGTGCTGTAGAATGAGGAAAACTTGGCTTACTAAGGTCTCACTGGTTTTGGATTGCAAAGCACGGACTGTATAGTTCATACTTCGGTGATACGGCAGATATAGAGGCCTCCAAATGACACTCGTAATAGGAGTTGGCGACGTCAGATTTCCTCCTAGCTTACAGGGATGTTCGTGGCATTTTCGTGAGAGTCCAATGTTCCAATCATTGAAAGTGACGTCGATGCAGTAGCCACATTTTATCTCATCTAATCATGCTCTAGCAAATGCCTGTAATGAATCAAACTATCATCCATTCAACTGCGTATACGTGCTGGCAAAAGCAGGTTTGAATGCGATGTGGCGAGAAAGCCATATCAACAACTTTCCAGAGACTTGACATTTTGCCAGAAAAAGTTAGCCTACACATATACTTCAATGCAGATGAAATACCTCTGTTCCGTCTCATCTCAACAGGAGTGTACAAACCTTCGTAGTAACTCGTCGCCAAATGGCACCAATCCACTACTTACAGAGAGTAACTGGAACCTACAGGACGCAAATTCGAGGTCTATTGATGTACTTGTTCCAAAGTGTGGGACCGAGTTCAGACGACTCAGGTCCAGGAAGTCTCATCTATAACTGAGTGACTCATCGAACTTTCTCAAGTTCCACAATGAGTTGGTGCACTTCTTCTTCGGACTGCAGTTACACTTTATCGAAGTCAAATCGAGTACTGAACTTAAGCAGCTGTCTGCCGAATATAACGATTAGGCTTCCACATAGTTCAACCATCTAACAAATCGTCATCATCTTGCTCCTCATAGAATGTATCTTTACACTTCCGATACTGACCGTCAGGGATCTACCGATCGAGTGATGAAAAGACGATACCGGGAACTGGGACATGAAACCTCTACGCTTCCATCCTTACTCGAATGAGTATTTGCCAAAACGCTTGGAAGATCTTACTTGAGTTTCATCTCGACAAGCCCGCAAAGTTTCCGAAAAAACTCAATGCCCACAATTCTTCTTAGCTCCAGCTTCATGAAGAGTTTCCAGACACTAGAAAATGACTTGCACCTGAGATTGGGAAGTTTTACTTGTAAGACGTCTGAAGCAAAAAGATGCACAAATCACCAATGCAGAAGTACATACATTGCAGTACCTATACAAGCTTAACATTTTCTGGTCGCACCTAAAGAGCTACTGTGCGTGGTGAGACGAATGGAACAGTGCAGCTCATGGCAGATTTATCCAGAACATTTGCATGTCATGCACCTTTCCGGACCTGAACTCATGATGCAGTCTTGGTAATTGTCACATTGTCCTTGTGTACGATCATGCCTGTTTCCACCAGATGCGGCACCTCTGCGGCTAGCCAAGGGGCCAGTCCTAGACAGAGTGCATGTGCAACTCCAAATCGCGGACTGCAGGCATGAACGCGGAACATTAGTGAAATATTACCGAAGCTGACATGCATTCCTCAACAGCTAAACTGGGCATACAACCCATAACACTCAAGTCCGTCAAAGAATATGTGACGAAAAATTTGCAGGCAAGACAAAACAGCACTACATACCAATTCTTTGCCCAAAGAGGTTTGAAGTGAATCGTCAGACAAATTTTCCCACCTCTATACATCTGCACACATCGAACTCCACAAGTTCAGAATTTGACCTACTGACTACCCAACTGCTGTCAAAACAAAGGTACATACAATCTCTCAGAGAAGACAGAAAGTTAAACAAATTCCAGATGGTGACGGCAGCGGTGAGAAAGTCGTCTAAGAAGATCTTGCTCTGGAGATCTGAGAAAAATCGTAGAAAATTTGGCTGGGAATTCTAACTTCCTCTGTGACCGGACCTAATTGTACCCAACAAAATCAAAAATTACGATAACGATCAGAATACTGTGACGCCCTGTGATGTTCACCTTCGCTGTCTTCCCATCCAGTTCAGGCAGCTCAATTTCAGGTGCTGTTGCAGGGTAAGTGACAGGGATGTCGAACTGCAGATCAAATTCGTACTTCAGAAGATTATGAACGTACCAACACTTTCCCTTCCACTTGGTGCCATCTGCACCAGAGGAAATTCTAAACCAATCGTTGTCATTGGCCTTGTTCATCTCCATATACTTGATAAGAGCCTACAATCACGAAGGTACCCACAGTTAGCTGGGGTCGTACCTCGTTGATCCACAATTGTATACCTCGTCTGCTTGTGTACGCCACACATGGGCTTCCCAGATGTAAACGACAAGAACTCAATTCCACAAAGTGCCACTGATGGTCGAGTGGTTTAGCACAAAAAATTTAGTAACAATCAAGGAACTGAACTATTCAAATACACTGGGAGAAAATCGCCATAAGAATTTTTTATCAGATTGCGCTCATTCTGTATCTCAACCTTGCTGACTAAGAAACGAAGAACTTCACGACACACTTATCCAATTATCATTGCCCATACAAAATGAAACCTAATCGAATTCGGTTGCCTTTAAGGGGATAGAAAAGAAAATGAGTTCCTACAATTTGCTAATTGCACCCTACAGGATCGAGGGGGCTTCCGAACACGTCAAACAACAAACAGGGAAAAATTCCTCAGCTGATTGAAGCCCATAACTGGCCGTGCGGGCCCATTGTGAGCCCCAAATCCACAAAGCCACCTCCATCGGCATCAAGCACCTCAACAAAGGGATGATTGATGCCTACGAAAGCCAGTGTAGACGAGGATACATCCCGTCAAACTGACCACGATCAAAAAGGCTCAGAGATTACAGACCTGATACTCCTCTTTCAAGCGTTTCGTCCATTCCGCACCATCCCGTGGACCGGCTCGGGTAGCCAGCAAGGGAATTTTCGTCACCACACTCTTCGTGCTCGCATCCCAACCGTCCATGACAACGCCGGAGGCAAAGACCTGCCCAGCCAACCAATCGATCGATCGATTGGGCGACCAAAATCTCCCTCCAACTACTCCACCACCTGCACCGCCCTCTCTCTCTCTCTCTCCCAAACCTCGAAATCGTCCAGATATTCGCCTCTTCTTCACCGTCCCTGCCCCTCTCCCTCGATGTCTCTGTCTTCCGATCCACTCAGTGGATCACTCTGTCACTTCTCCTCAGCAGACAGCCCCGAGGGGAAGAAGGGGTGCTAAGACCCGGACTGCGCTGCGCTGCTAAATTCCTCTACCAGTTCCCTTCCGTGGTCGGGTGACGTGGCTGCCAGTGATTGCTGAGAATTCCACGTGGCGCGTACGGATTGATCGGTATCACAAAAACCAGCTAGGAAAGCGGAGTAGCAGCTTGCTTTTAGATCCCGGAGTGCCAAGTCCACGTGAGAACATTCACCAGGCGGGCAATTACAGCCAGGAGAAGAAGGGATGGGTTGGGGAGTTTTGGCTTGCGAGACGAGACGAGACGAGTGAGCACGTTCCACTGATTTGGAACCGAACTCATCTTCCATTATTCTGGAGCCGGAATTCTGGCTTTATGGCTGAGGACGGTTCTGTTTGGAGGTGGTCCATGAAATTTCAATACTGGTATCTGTGTGTGTCTACTGTATTGGAAACCATTTGTAGATGGACATTGTAGATGTAGAAATACTGATGCTGTCTGCTTTGCTTGGCAGGGCAGGGCAGATCTGACACCAGTGTTCGATCGATCCGCTCAGTAGTGATCTCTTTGACGAGTGATTATCAAAGTTTACGTACTTGGTCGGTGAATGTCATGATGATGATACATTCCTTCATAAGGACGAGGCATGAGTACAGTACTCGTACGCTGGAGAACAGACTGATTTCTCCGGTTGATTGACTGTGTGACAGTGATTTCAGCTTCAGGCACGATAACTAATACGTTTCACGGCGGAACATGCGATCTACATCAACTACAACTATCCACTTGGCCTGACAAAAATGATATGGATAGTTGAGATATTTTAGTGAAATATATCAGATTTAAAACTATGTTACAAATGGTTCTTTGCGTTTTTTATATTCGTCTAGTCTATTTTCCTTTTAGTGGAAGATTTGGCTTCTATTGATGAAATTTTGATATTATTACTGTCGGTTAGTTATTGTGGAGATACTCAAAATTCCCCGTACTGATCGAAAACCTTGTGTTAAACCAACGGCTATGATCTCAAGCTTTGGTCACGGAAACTAACCTTGTGTTAAACCAACGGCTATGATCTCAAGCTTTGGTCACGGAAACTAAGACCTACAGCGAAGTCCAATTCGATCCTTGCGATCAAATCTTTATTACTATTTGACCCAATTTCAAGCCCCCAATAGAGTGGAACCTCGGTATAAGGTACACCCTAATTGCTCCAAAATGTTTTGCTTTTGTACCTTATGACGTGGTTGTACCTTATACCTCTAACTCCCTAATTTAAAATAATGATGAAATCACTTTCGTTTATTGAAAATACTTATCAATTGAAGAATGCTTAAGAGTTGAAAGATACCCAGACTGGATTGTAGATGTTATGCCCGACAAGTACATCTCTTCTTTGAAGAGTGAGTTGGTTTTTGCAAAGTCTATCATATCAGTAACCATTTCTTTTGCCTTTACACATGAAATCGCTTTCGGCTGTTCCGGCTCACTGTCTGCAATAACAGCGGCGATTTTCTCCACTTCTTCGTCACTGGCAGCGTCAATAAATTCTTCAACCAACTGTCCAATGAAGCTTTACTGGTCTTGAATTTCGCTTTCTGGCAAATTCTCCTCAACAACAACTGCGGCTAATGTGAAACTGCATGTGACAAAACATTTTTGAATAGTTTTAGGTTTGACAAGGTACCAAGATTTTTCTATGAATTTGATCGCGTCCAGAACTGTTAGTTTCTTTGCAAGATCTTATGCATGAACAGAAGAGTTTTCCATCAAATCGAACAAGGTAAACACCTCAAACTTCCGTGAAAGAGCTTTCAAGCTGCGAATGATGCCTGCATCAAGTGGCTATAGCATTGATGTCAAATTAGGAGGAAAGAAATGAAGCTCGACATTTGTGAGTTTTGTGGCTTTGTCAACAATATGAACAGGGGTGTTATCCCAAAAGAGCAATATCTTGTGGCCTTGATGTTTAAAGAACTCATCCATATCTTTCCAATAGATATTGAACAATGGATTTGTCATCCACGCCTTTGCACTATTTGAATACTTGGACTTGAATTTGCTCATATCAACGCTCCTAAATGGTTGAGTATTCTTGAGCTTTTCAATAATCAATGGAGGCAGTTTCTCTCCCAAAGCAGAGCAAGTTAGAGCCACCGTGACGCTGTCTTTGCCTTGCTTTCTGCCTTTACATGATTGAGCCATGTGGTTCATTGTCGAATCTGGCAAGGCTCGGAAAAAGAAACCAGTCTCATCCATATTGAATACGTTCTTGAGATCGTATCTAGAAATTAACGACGTTAATGACGTTTTTCATTGAACAACAACCCCTAGATCTACATTTCCAGATTCTCCACAAACCTTGTACAACCGAACATTGTTCCTTTGCTTCCAGTTCTGCAGCTAGCCTTCAAAAGCCGTGAATTAGTTGACAACTCCCAGACAATCTGCGATTTGTTTTGCCTTTACCTGTAGAATCAGGCCACTTATCGAATACCCACGCGCTCTCGCTGTTGCAAATCATCTCCATAAAATGACATTAATGTCGCTCTGCTGAACTATTCTGGCCTTTGATAGCGCGCGATTGCTTTGTGCTTCTTGTAACACAGATTCTCGTTTTTGCTTTGCAGCTTGAACGGTTCCTTTGGATAATGAAAACTTATCAGTTGTTTCCCTAACATTGTGTCCATCGTCAAGGTATTTGGTTATGGCAACTTTGGTGCTCAGATTGACCAGCTTGCGCTTCTTCTTGTCAGGCATCACGTTCGACATCTTGAAGAATCCAATCTGGATGCCGACTGTGTACCTTATATAGAACTGCTTAGCCACTCCGCGACCAGGTGTACTTTGCGTCCTAAAAAGAGGTGTACTTTTTATACAGAGTTTGTACTTAGAAAAATCGGAGGGTTTGCTGATTAAAAAAAATTTCCGTACCATATATTGAGGTGTACCTTATATGGCATGTACCTTATACGGAGGTTCCACTATACTCTTAAGCTAGCCCTAAAAAACTAGAGTTAATGCTCTCTCATTGAAAATTTTGATTCTCTCAAACTTCTCAAGGTGAATTGTGCAGTAAATTTAGCTCGTTACCTTACTCACAACAAGAACAATAACCTAAATATTTCAACCTACAACTTGCTTATACAATCATATGATTGTAGATAAGAAAAGAAGATTAAAGCATGTGATTTTGAAAGTATTCCATATGAGTTTTCATCTACATGGAATGTTGAACTGAAATACTTACAACTTTCCAGCAAAACTTTTGTTACCAATTAAAACTTCTCATCAATTTCGGTTGTCAACACCAAAATTACTAAACATTCAATCACTTTTATTTCAATATAATGTCACAAACTTTATTTGTATACTTCTTGTTTGATGATCCAGAAACATTGAACAAAACACATCTACTTATTATCAATTCAAGTGATTAATTTTCACTACTCGTAGTTTTTCACAACACTTAAATATATAAGAAAAATACACATTTTTTGGAAAAAAAAAGTCCTAATTGGAAGTAATTTACTTCAAAATGAAGTCATATGCACTACATCTAAAAATGCTAAACGATTGCAATCCCTAAATCGTATGTATCTCAGTAGAAATCATGTCATGTAAACAGTTACAAATCTGGAAAAAGTTTTTATTAAATAGGCTTTTGTGTTGACAGCATTAACTCAAATATGTTTGATATACATGATTGACTGAACATATTTCTTGTTCAATTTTATATTTGATTAAGACGCTTGTTAACATACTTCGACTTTGAAGTTTATACCCTAGTGAGATGGAATATTGATCAATTCAAAGATGTATTTTTTTGCCATAGTAGAAATCTAGCTCTCAACTTATTGTCTCTGCTTTTTCATCATTATAAGAACCTTAGAGTATGATATTGAACTATAAAATCACTAGACTCTTATTATTTCTCAATGAAATATATGATATTTTAAAATTTGTCTTATGTAAAAATTCAAGTTTAAAGTGGTACAGCATGTTAGTATATATATTCAAAAATTTACTCTAAACTATGGGTTCCAACATCATAAGAAGTTTGCTGCTCGGACTTTAACACATAATGTTTAAAGACATTTAAATGATTGGATTTTAGTATAGAGGTAACCTTTTTGTGAATGATGAACATGATCTTATCACTAGTATGATCTAGTAGCATCATAAGTAATCTGTCTCATTTTAAGAAAAAAAAGATGTGATTCTCCACAAATGTCATATATAACATTTATATATGACATTTTTCAACTATGTATATCACATAATCAAACATGGAAATTTTGACAAATTTAGCCCTTGAATCAAACAAATGCTAAGTAGCTACTTAATTCAAGATGAGATTTTTTCCATCCATGAAATCTCATTAATAGCTTCATTGATGAATATTTGTATCTAACATAGCAACAATCATTATCCCTCATAATGAGAAAAATATATTACATTTGTCAATTGTGTATATTATTTCTGAAAGATACTTACCGAGAAGTGACTAACAAAAAATGTAAGAGTACACGAGCACAGAATGGTTCTTGGTTCACTCCTTGGGACTACTTCCAAGGCATTAGAAAATGCACTATAATAATGAGCATGCGGGGCGCTACAGGGTACCCTAGGGTAAGCCGACAAGTAACCGAAAATAGCTAGCTCACAAAGGAGTTATCCCATGATATGATTGTTGAGTTAACCCAACAATCATATCATGAAACATGTAAATTTTGATAAATTCAGCCAATTTATCAAAGTTATGTGATACTTCGTCATCATAATTGATCTTTCATAACTTTAACTTTCAAACTTTAATTCATATAGTTTTATATAAAACATATCATATGAACAAACACAACTCAAAAAACATAAATTTATTCCCAATTGATATCAAATCCAAAAAAATGCACTTGTCATAATTGAATATGTACTCATGTTATTGATACTCATTTTTTCTTGCATTTATCTAAAAAGTCTCACATGCACACAAAAGTATTTCTTGGAACTAATTTTGAAATATTTTCAATTAAGCAAAGCTTTAAGGTATTGAGATTTTCTCCTAGACTTCGATGAAACTTAGATGTGGTTTTTCATTATTTGTCTGTTTTGGCAACCTTTCAACTTTCATATACAATTATCTACTTAAAAATTGATAAATAAGATTGGAATATTGTTTTGTGAAAGCAGAATTTTGCTAGCAAATCATACATGATTTCATTATATTTGATTTTTTTTCCATTACAATGCAATAATAGTTATGATCAATGTAGTAAAAATGTAAGAAGTGAATTCAAAGTAAATTT